GGTGGTTTCGAACTGCTGATCTTTCAGATTGTTTCCCAGAGTATAACCACTACACCACCAGGGGTCCTATTAAGCAAGGTGTAATAAGATGTCCTACTGTAGTTATGAATTTGTCTGTTTCTTTTTGAGTTTTATAAACTTTTACTACTTTTAATATATTGGGTACTTACAGATTAATGACCGTGATACTGTTCTCATGGACAGGTGTAAGCAAAAAGACTAGCACGTCAAAAGCATTTATTGGTAGATAGAAACTTAGTAGATAGGAGGCATACCATCATAGACATTCATGTCTTCATAACGATTTTGTAAGTAGGAATTGATTAAAGAGTAGAGAACTACAGGAGAGACCCACAGGGGCAAGGCCACAAGCAGCTGGGTCTCTTCAAGCTCACTAAGTAGACCGCTTTTGTGGGGCTGTTATCTTAGTCAAATTTGGGCAGTTGGTGCAGAATTTTGGTTTTTCTGAGCTCTTTCCTGACCCGCTTTTTCAGTGGATGCATGTGCACTGTTGGACCAAGTTGGAGTCTGGAAATTCTGAATAGCGTCTATAGCAATGGGATCTGTGATACTTTGCATATTTAGTTGGGCAAGAGCAAAAACACCTTTACTTTTTGTTCAAATTCCACGTTAGTCCTGAAACCATTTTCGGCCAATTAACGACCACGTGTGCCCCTGCTGTAACTGCCTCTTAAACCAGTTGAGCCCGCCTTTTAGGAGGAGGAAGACTGTGACGTGGAAGACAACCGAGGCATAGATTTTGTAGGTTTCATGACTTACTTTACAAGGTCACCCTGTCTGTCCTGCTGCTGATATGACTGTTATGCTCCCCTCAGACTATTGTCTCTGCACCGTGTGATCGCTCATATATTGCCTGCTTCTTTGGTTGATTTAATTTTTATAGCTATTATTTCTTCTGCATACTGTCTCCAGCAATCTGTTCCTTTTCAATTGATCCCTATATCATTTTGTAGGATTCTTTAGTTTTAAAAATGTTTCTTGCCATAAATTCTATTTTTTCTGATAATCAGCAAAGTATGTCAGTTTTCTTTTGGTTAATGTTACATGCTATATTTTTTAATCCCATCTGTACAATGTTTCTACATGCTTATATTTGAAGTGAATATACTTTAAGGAGTTTGATTATTTGTTTGGCAAACTTAGACTTTATATAGTAATATACACACAATTCATGTACTGATATAGTTGGGTTAAATATACAATCTTTATTTGTTTTTTATTTAATCTCTTTGGCCTTTTTTGGATTTAAAGATTACTTTATTGTTTCCTTTTTTGAAAATGTACCTCTCACCCCCCACACACACACTTAAATACCACACATTTTTTGGGGGGAGGGGGCCTATTATTTAATGGTTATTCTAACAATTACAACCTGTATCCTAAACTTACTACTAAACTCTAGAAAACCAAGCTCTGTCATCAAATTGATTCCAACTCATAGCAGTCCTCTAGGACAGGGTAGAAACTACCCTGTGGGTTTCTGAGACTGTAAATTTTTGTGGGAGTAAAAGGACTCATTTGTCTCCCATGAAACTGCTGGTAGTTTTGAACTGCTGACCTTATGGTTAGCAGCCCAACACATAACCCACTGCACCACTAGAACTCAAATTATGACTTTCCCCACTATCCTGAAACTGCTAGAATCTTTATACCTTGTACAATATTTTAGGTTTCATTTTGACCATACATTTTTACTTGCTTACATATTAATCCTCTCTGATTGTGGTTATTTCATCTTTATTTCCATGTTTTTCATCTGGGGCAATTTTATTCTAGCCAAATAATTTTAACTCTCCTATAAAAATTAAAATTAAAAAAATTAAAAGTCTCCTTTAGTACAGGCTTGCTGGGGACTAATTTCCTGGTATTTGGTTCTTTGCACATATCATTGTTTCACCTTAATTTCTGAAGGAGTATTTTTACTAGGTATTCTAGATTTTGGGGTATTATTTTCTTTTGACCAGTTAACTATCATTCTATTATATTCTCACTTCAGTTGGTTTTTGTTGCAAAATTCCTGTCTTGTTTTACTACTCAAGATCAAATATACTTTTTGCATACCTGTTTTTAAATTTCCCCTTTTCTTTTCCTTCATCTTTCTTCTCTTCCTCTTCCTTTCTTTTAGTAGTTTGATTGTGGTGTTCTAACTATAGTTTTGACTATGTCCAGGTTCGAGTTCACAGAAATTCTTGAATCTGTAGCATGACTTTTTCCATCAGGTTTGAAAAACTCTGAGTTACTGTCTTTGAATATTATTTTTATTTTTTTCTCTCCTGTCCACGACTCCTGCATGTCCCACATTTCTCTTGTTCTCCATCTTCCTGCCACCTTTCCCTTTCTTCCTTTAAGCACTGTCTTCCTCTCATCTTTCTCTCTCTACTTCCTTGTAGGTACTTTTTATTGACCCGTCTTTTAATTTTCTAATTCTATATGCTAATGTGCCCAGTTTCTGTAAAACCTATATATTTCTTCATATTTTGTATTTTTCCAGTTTTAGAATGCCTATTTCAGTGTTTCTTTTTCTTTTTTCTAATCATCTTATTGGGGGCTCATACAACTCTTATCACAATCCTTACATACATCAATTGTGTAAAGCACATTTGTACATTCTTCAGTGTTTTTTATTGATCCTGATCATTTGAAAATTCTCCATCCTTCATCAATGTTGTCCATTTCCCCTCTATTTTCTTTCATATGTTAGAATTACTTAAAAGTCTTTATTTTTTTACTTTAATATTGAATCATTTTTGGGTCTGATATTATCTAGAATTATGTTTTCTCTTAATTATACTGTCTTGTCTGCTGTATATTTTAGTAATTTTTAAGTGTGTACTAGACTTTGTGTGTGAAGAAACCATAGAGTCTCCAGACAGTGTCATCTTCCAGGAGGTTTTCATTTTTCTGTGTTGTTTCAGTAGGGTAAGGGTTAGGCCGCATCTACCTAATCAGGGATTGCGCCGTTTTAGGGCTGTGTTAAGATTCATAAAATTTACTTTTCCTCTCATTGGTCCTCTTAAAACATATATTAATTATTCTCCTTTCTGAGAGACCCATTTCTACAAAGGTTTCAGCAGTCTCTGCCTCAAAAATTGGTAATTGTCTTAGTTGTTTAAAATGTCGTAGGTCCAAAAAGACAATCAGTTTCAATTCCACTCTATTCCTTTGACATCAAGGGTCCTTCACAAAATGTAACCATTTTCTTCCCTATCATTCCAGAGAAAGTCTGTTATTTCCTTTCAACTTTTCTCCTTACTACAGAATCTTCTTATGAAATAAAAATGTCATGTGAAGGATCGATATAGGAACTAAAAATAAGTCCGCTGCTGTGGTTGGAGTAGGAGGTTTTGACACAGCTGCAATTTAGAACACATCGGAAACTACAATGATAATGTAATTTAAACATCAAGCGAATTTTATTAAAAGGTTCTTTGTGTTTAAAGAGAAAAATTACACTATTATGACTATATTTTAATTTTAGTGTTAATTTTCTTTTAGTGTTTCAGATTTTGAGATGATGCTCCTGAATCAAGGAAGTGTGCTATAATGTAGTCAGCTTTGAAAAAATGTAATTACCTTTGCATCCCCCCCCACAATCTTTTTGAAGTCCTTGCATATCAAAAATAGTTACTATTTCCTAAGAAAAGTTCTTTCACTTTTAGCAACTTGAAAATGATTCTCTATGACTAAAACCATTTTTAACGGTTTTGTTGCCAAAAATTCAATTAATACCACTCTTCTGTGTTTTTTCTTTCTTTTTTAAAATTTTTTATTAAGAATCATTTTATTTCAAAAATTGTTTGCTTGTTTTCTGTTTTATTGAGACTGGGAGATGATTACAAGATGCATGAAACTGAGCAGAATTTTGCATGCCTAACTTTGTGATGCTTTTGCAATGTCCTACTAGAATTGTCTGGAGTTAGAATACAGATTGAGATTGAAGATAGAAATTAAGAAGTTGCTTGCACTTACTTTTAGGGTCATGGGACTGAATGAGTAAGTGTGCTCACTCCTGGGGAGGAAGGATTGTAAGGATATTTAAGTGTAGCTGGATAAGTGGTCCAAGAACTAAGTTCTAAAATATTCCAAATTGTGGAGGTCAGAAAGACAAGTAGACACAACAAAAGAAATGGGAGGAGAGATTGGTAAGATAGGAGAACCAATAACAGGTAGTGATCCAGAAGCCAAGAAATGACTGATCACTGGAGTCGCTGAATCATAGGAACTGAGTAAGAGAAGCCCTGAGAATTCAATCAGGGCTCCAAGCCCTGTTTCATGAAAGCACAGAGGGATCCCTGTGCAGTGGTTGACAGCGAGTTTATTGAAGGTTTGCATAAGGTGTAGCCAACAAGGTGTGGGCTTCTCTCCCAGCTTCAACAAGATTTGCTTCACTTTTGGGGTTCTGTGTGAGATTTCCTTTGAAGCAGTGGTAGTCTGAGAACTGTTGGAAGACATTCTACAGATGGGAAAGGTTCCAGAGAATGATGGGGCCGTCTCTGGTGTAACTCCCAAGCAAAGTCTAAAGCTGGGGGTGAGCTAAAGGAATAGATGATTACTAAGGTCTTTTTCATCTCTAAAGCTCTTGGATTCTAGTCTTGGTTACAGTCTCAGAACAACAAACTCAATTCAGACTCCACTACTGCTCAGTTCTGCTAATGGCCATGTTCGAGACGTGTCGTGGCTGTTGTCAAGGGCCGTTGAGTTTGTTCCCACTGTTAGTGCTATTATCTGTGTTATTTTCCTTAAGAAGACAAAATTTTCATTTTGGTGAAACTCATCCGAAATGAATTTGTAGAGTGTGGTACTTTGAAGTCTAATGAAGGTGGTATACAAATATGCTAGTTGTTATAGAGCTATTGTGGACCCCTAATTGTTTTGCTTTTAAGTTAGGTAAGTTGCATTACAAGTGCCTCTTAAGAATGGTTCTTTTTTGAATTGTGCTTTTATAATATAATATTTCATAATTTTTTCTTTTTTAATAGACTTGGAAAATATTTACATTTCAACAAATGAATTCTACACTTGAAATCTGCCACATTCCTGTGCCTCCTCCTCCTTTAGAAAATTGATCTTAAAACAGAGGTAAATTCATATTCATTAATTTTTAAAAGAATAAGTAATGAATGTCCCTAATATTGTTAGATGTGTAGTTTCTGGTAATTTTTTGGTGTGTTGCTTCTATTTGTTGAGTATTTTTACCTAGGTGATTTAATATAGTAAGATGTTAATTATTGCCTTTGAATTTTACTTTTGAAAGCATTTCTCTTTTAATATAGGCAGACCCAAATTATGAGCAAGTTCTGTTCCTAAATCTTCCTTTAAGTCTAGTTTGTACATTAGTTGTCACAGTTAAATATGGTTCATATCTAGTGTCATTTGTTTGTCTTAGTGTATAGTGTTCCTTTGTGTGCCTTAAAAATGTAATAGTGAGCGAACAAAAGGCTATTCTCATGCAACTTAGCATCGAATGGGGGAGATAGACAATTAGTGACTAATGAGATTTAATAATTGAACTATGAAACTCGAAGAAGCACTAGCAAAGAAAGAAATTGTGTTGGGATAGGAAAGAGGACTGCTATTTAGAAAAAACAAAGAAGTCCTCATAAATATAAGAGAGATATGCTGATAGATATAATCTGGGAAGAAGCATTGAGTCAAATAACAGGAGTAAGACAGCATCCCAGTCTGGGTAAAGGTGTGCATAAAGGTATAAAGAAACTGAAAGGATGCTGTCCTCTGGGAAAGGGATTAAATAGGAGGTCCTGGATAGAGTGAGGGAAAAAATGTAGAACAAAACACAAACTCATAATAGAAACCATCCTTACTAGTCTTTAGATCCCCAAGACTATAGCCTAAGAACCTATCTTGTATCCAATTTTGTGATGGGTTACCCCTTTCTCAACCTTCCCCCTCCCTGACCATGATATGGCTACTCTCATTACTGTTCCTGAGGGGCTTATCTTTCCTGAATTCCATGTGTTGAGAGCTCTTTTCTGTACCAATGTGTGTTCTCTGGTCTAGCCAGATTTGTAAAGTAGAACTGGGTCATGAGTAGGGGACAGCGGGGGTAGGAGGGGGGTATTCAGGACCTAGAGGAATGATGTGTGATTCATCAATGCCGCACTACACCTTGGTTGAATCAGCCCTTCCTTATACCACTTCTGTGGGGGGATATCCAATTATTTACAGATGGGCTTTGGGTTTCCACTCCAATCTCTCTGTTTGCATTGATATAGTTGTTTGTTTTGGATCTTTTGATACCTGATGTCTGATCCTGTTGACACCTCATGATCACAGAGGGGCCGGTGTGCTTCTTGCATGTGGGCTTATTTGCTTCCCTGCTAGATGGTCTTTTGCTTGACTTCAAGCCTTTAAGACCCCAATGCTGTATCTTTTGACAGCTGGGCACTGTGAGGAACAGAAGAATTTCTCTTAAGTTGTCTCCCCAAAATATGTACCAGCTGTTTAAGAATGACTGTACAATAGGTGATCAGCGAAAGTAGGTCAGAGGTTATTCTCCTTAACATCAGCCATCTATAGTGGCTAGACTATTAGTCTGACTCACCCTAAATAAGACCCACTCCCTTCTGATAAGGATAATGGTGATCTGTTTATTTGCAGGAGATACCAGAGAGGGCAAACCCGCCCAAGGATGACCAAGGTTAGGTAACCATTATCAGCTGTCTAGATCAAGCAGACACCACTGTTTATCCCACAACAAATGTGGGCACACCCCTAGGTCATCCCCCTCCTATTGATTGTATTGCCTATGTTGCTACCCCTCCTGGTGACTTAGGTTATTGTCCGCTATCAGGGGACTTGCATGCCTCCCAGAATTGTAGTTGTTGGTTTTATTATATGAGACTTCAGAGTGATCAAACTTGTTCAAGAATGAAGTGTACTGCCCCTTTCTGTGACACATAAAGTAATATGATGTGTGGTTAGCAATAAATAAGGAAGCTCCCTGGTTCTCGAGAGGGCGGCTGAGGAAGGAGGGCTGCTTCCCGTGAGGGTGGCTCCCATGAGGGTGGCTGGCCGAGGGTGGCTGGAGAAGGTGGCTAAGGAGGACGAAGCAGCGGCTTCTTCTCTGACGGCTAAGCCCCCTCCACGAGGACCATCAAGCCGAGCTGAGGTGAGCAATGCTACCATGAATTGCGTCTGACTCCATTACTTGACTCCATCCTTTAACTCTCCATTACTTGACTCCATCCTTTAACTCTCATGCGCTCTACGATTTTACTGTAATCTCTACTTATTACCGCTGTACAATTGCGCCTACCGAACCTGTGATGTTTTGTGGGGTTCCCTCTTTCCTTTAACCCCACAGGGCACCATCCGCTCTCGTCACCGCATTTGCTTATGCACCCATTTTGTTTTCAGGTATCATGTAGGGAAGGTGAGTATCAAAGAGTTCCAGGTTATCAGAACAAAATATTTTTGTGTTCAGGAAGGCCTTGAGTAGAGGCCCAAAGTCTGTCTGGTATCATACATAATACCTCTTGAATTTTTAAGTGAATATGGATCCAAAATTTTTGCTTAAAATGTCAACAGAATTCCTCCAAAATATCTCAGTCTACTACAGCTTTAAACAGTTGTCTCAGCAGAAGATTGCCTGAGACCGCAAAATTTCCATATCTTTAATTTCAAACTTTAGTAATGTTGATATGAGCGATTCATGCCTCTGGAAGAATATCTATCTGTCAAAAGCTTCCGGGTAATTTTTAAAGACAGCTTTAGCTTTCGTTTTAATGTAGCAAAAATATTGAACTTAACCAAGTAGAAAATATAAGCAGAAAACTGAGTAGGTTTTGTTTCACCAGAAATAATTATCATTGCTAGAGTACTAAATGGAGTTCACGAGCATAATTGAATTAATAGTTTGAGTACCTGCTCTGTGCCAGGTATTGGGGATAGAGCACTTGTCCATGTGAAGTACAAATTATAGGAGGAAAAACAGACAATAATGTGTAAGCAGGATAATTACAGATTGTGTTAAATGTAATAAAGGAAATGGTCAGAATGATAGGGGTTGAAGAGTGGTGGCACTGGAGCTGAGCAGGAAAGAGGAGGGTTAGGGCATAGTTTAACTTTCAAAGTGACAGCAATCTAGTCATATTCAAGAGAGTTGGAATAAGAATATGCTAAGTAGCAAGTACAAAGATCAAAGTATTGAGAAACGAAATGCTTATGTTATTGTATGGGTAAATTTTAGTTAAGTTTTTTCTTTTTAATAGTATTTCTTTTTTTCCCCTTAAAGTTGTTGATTAATTAAAATTATTTGCATTATGTTGTTGTTGGCAGCCATTGAGTTGATTATGATTCGTAGCAACAGAATAAAACTGTCCCATAGGACTTCCTGGACTGTACAAGTGAATTGCCAGGTCTTTTCTCCTCTAGAGCTATTGGGTGGGTTGAAACCAGCTGCTTCTATTGGTTAGCAGCTGAATGCTTAATCATTGTGCCTCCTGAGCTCCTTAGTTGTATCTGAGAGATGAGGGAATATACTGGTATTATGATTATCATTGCTATTAACAACTTTATTCCTCTAATTAGAGGCAGTTAGCTTCCAGTTACTTTTTTAAATGGCTTTGATAGAAAACAACAAAACTTGATTTGTTAAATTTGTGGTTAAAAGAAATTTATCCTGAGATGCTTTTTTTTTTTAAATTGGAAGATGGCCATCAGGATTATTTAGGGAGCTTTTGAAAAATACATAAACTGGGACCCATATTGGCTGTTGCAATATATATCAGTCTTAAAAGATGTGTGTTTCTTTTTGAAAACAATATCTGTTCTTCACTCTCATTTTAATAATAGGACATATTCCTTATAGAGAATTTGGGGAAAGTTGCTTAATTGTAGTTTCATTTTCTTACACTTTAAAAATAATGTAGAAATGCATTTTTAAAAATTTAATTTATTAAGATGACAATTTGCACCCTTAAATGTTAAACAAACCTTGCATTCTTTTTTTTATCATTTTATTGGGTGTAGTAATACATTTTTAAAAATTTTCAGAATCTCTTTTAGTCAGCTAAAAAATCATTTAAGTTTATAACTTTAAAACATAGAAATCTTTATCTAAAACATGGTATTTAAAATAATCATGTAACTTATTTTGTTTCTTAAGAGAAATATCATATTTAGTAGTAGCTATTTAGAAAGTATGTTGGAAAAATATCTCATTCTCAATCTCAACCAAAATATAAACTAAGAGTTCTAACATAATTAGAAATGTGTTGTGCTATCTGAAGAAAAAAAATTAATTTTATACTAAGACCCGTAATTGGGATTTTTACAAATAGTCATGCTTGTTCCTATATGGGAAAACTCGATTTTGTAAAGATGTTGTTTGAAATTCATTTGAATGGCTAATTTTTAGTAGTATGGGTGTGGGGAAGAAACTTACCAAAATAAGCATAATATTCATCTGCAAGATTGAAGTAGGCAATAATAATTAAATGTAATCTTAGGAAAATAATTAGAATAGGACTGGTACTATTGAATATTAAATTCTACAAGCCACAATTATTAAAAACAATGTATCTGGTACACACTTAGTGGTTAAAGTAGCTCAGAAGAATTCCAAATACATGCAGTGTATGATAAAAGTAGCATTCCAAGTCAATAAGAAAAAGATGGATATGCAGATAGCATTAAAACAATTGTGAACTATTAGAGAAAATTAATTTGGATCTTGATATCATGTTGCACTCTAAAATAGCATATACATTGTTAACAGGGTAACTATAAATGACATTGCCTTATATGTTGAGAAAGCAGACCCCTGGAGATGTAGTAGGTTAAGAGTTGGGCTACTAATCACAATGTTAGCAGTTCAAATTTCACAGCTGCTCTTAAGAACTTGAGACTTTCAGCTTCTGTAAAGATTACAACCTTAGAAACCTTCAAGGACAATTCTACTGCCCTATAGGGTTGCTATGAGTCAGAATGGAATTAATGGCAGTGAGTTTGTTTTATGCTGAAGTAGTAGTTTTATAAATTGAACACGAGATTATTAGGATGATCATTTGTGCTTTAAAAATCCTAGAGAGCAGGGAGGGTAAAAAATTTCTAGAAAGGGTTATAGTTTTGAGACTGTACAGCAAGCAGGGCTTCAAAAAGTTTGTGGAGAAATGGAATTAAAAGATAATGAAATTTTTCCAAGTAGTTTTTGAAGCCTCCTCGTATTTAGACTTGGAGGCCTACTGGTGATGTTGAGTATGGACAGAGAGAGCAATAAAAGATATTTGATGTTTGCTGGTGAAATGCTATTCGGTGCAGACACATGTTTTGTAACATAAGAAAGTTGAAAACAAGTTGTATGTAGGTTATTAAACAAGTAAGTTATGGTTTTATACTTAAAATTAAATACTCTAGCTGGATCCCATCTGTTTGAATATGTAATGTTATTTGTCATTTGTTGTAGACCTTTGAGATGAATGCTTTTGTGTAGTTGATACATGCAGAAGTAAATTATCTTTCTATTGTTTCCTCCTTTTTGCCACAATCTATTTGACAACAGCACTGATATCCCTCATTCTACATCCTCTTGAATCCAGCTTGAACTTCCAGCAGTTCCCTCTCTATAGATCTTACTGTAGCTATTTTTGAATTATGTTTAGCAGACTATTGCCAGCATGTGATCTTAGTAATATTGTTCAAAAATGTCTTTATTCTGTTTGACCACCTTTCTTTGGAATGGGCAGAAATGTGAATTTCTTCTGATTGATTGGTTAGGTACTAGCTGTCTTCCAGATATTTTGACATAGACTACTAACACTTGCAGTGCTGCTTTTTAAAAAGAAATGTATTTTAGTTCTTCAATAATGTCATTTCTTAGTGGGTACACACTGCTTTTACGTGACATAAATTTTAAGTTGATTTTCAAATAATTAAGTATTATATTATCAACTGGTTTGATTACTGACCTCTCCATTCCTTTGTGGTGACTTTGTCAATAGGGAGCAGGTTCCATTCTATTTCGATTTGTGTTGCTGTATATGTCCATACTGCAACACAGAAAGTAGCTACAGTAGCTAAAACAGCATTACCATATGTGTGATGCAATTCAGGTACCCATTTCTGGTGGCTTTGCCTTGCTTTTGTTTGCTGAATGCTTTGCGCTCGTGGACGAGTTACCGTGTCTTTGGCCAAAGGAAACTGAGAAGTATGTAGAACTGCAGCAATTGGAAAGCTGGTTAGGGAAAATTCATGCCCGATACCCTTGCAGAGAGGACTGACCCAGTGTTGTTGCTGAAATATCTTTGTTAGTATTCTGTCCATTTCTGTCATATGCTGTCTCCTGAAATGGTTGAACATCAACTCTTTTTATTACAGTAAGTCTGTATTTTCCTTCCATCTTTTGATGCTGCTTAAGGCATTCATAGAATCACTCAGTCTTGCAATCCTTCAGGATGCTTAAGAAATATATCTGGCATGAGCCAATGAATACCTGACTGGATCTCTTTTATAAGTTTTTGGGCAGTTGTCTAGTAGGGTTCTGAGCAGCCTTAGGAGTCAACTACTCCAGGCCTTAGATAATTGTTTATAAATCGAAGTTAATAATATATGGTGATTCCGTGCTTGTTATTTTATTAAAACGTTTAGATATAAGTAGCATAAAATAAAATGCAAAGTAATCATGGTGATGTCACAGAATCCATTTTTTGCTAAATATCTAGCTGATATTTCAAAAAAAATAACAGTGGAAGAGGTGGAATACCTGAAAGATTACTTATTTGAAGGGCAACATCATCTGGGTATATAGTTCTGGCTCTATTTCTTTTTAAAAGTATAATTTCTTCCACAAGAATTGCTTTAAACTGGTTCTATGAAAGGGCTTTCTGAGACCTATGGACTCAAGACATTTTAAATTGTGTGCGTGTGTGAGGGTACCATATCGACTTTTTCCTGAAGAAGGAACCACAGCTTTGTTCAGATCTCAAAGGCGTCTGTGGTGTGCCATTCTCCCATCTCTGCTCCCCAGAAGGTTAAGAACCATTAGTTTGTATTTTGGTTGTCATGGTTGGTATGTAATGCTAGTTCACCAAACCAGGTTTTTACTTTTTATTGCTTATTATGGAACATTACAAACCTATAACAAAATTGAGAAAATAGTTTAATGGGACCTGTTTACCAATTAATTAGCTTCAACAGTTTCAAAATCATAGCCAGTCATATTTCATCTATACCCAATACCCTTTCTTCAGTTTCCCTCCCCATTTATTTTATAGTAAATATTTCAATATATATCTCTTAAGAGGTCAGAGTGACTGGTTTGGGGTGTTTTTCTTTCTTTTTAATCATTTAATTTGACACTCATACAACTCGTATCATAATCCCATCCATCCATCCATTGTGTCAAGCACATTTGTACATTTGTTGCCATCATCATTCTGAAAACATTTTCTTTCTACTTGAGCCCTTGGTATCAGCTCCTCGTTTTTCCCCTTTCCCCCACCCTCCCTCCCTCATGAACTCTTGATAATTTATACATTATTATTATTTTTTCATTTCTTACACTGACGGATATCTCCCTTCACCCACTTTTCTGTTGTCCATCACCCTGGGAGGGGGTTATGTGTAGATTGTTGTTATTGGTTCCCACTTTACCCTTCCCCTCCTGGTATCACTACTCTCAATGTTGGTTCTGAGGGGTTTATCTGTCCTGGATTCCCTGTGTTTCCAGCTCTTATTTGTACCTGTGTATATGCTTCGGTCTAGCCAGATTTGTAAGGAAGAATTGGGGTCACGATAGTGGGGAGAGGAAGCATGAAAGAACTAGAGGAAAGTTGTAGGTTTCAATGGTGCTATACTGCACCCTGACTGGCTCGTCTCCTCCCTGTGACCCTTCTGGTAAGGGGTTTGTCCAATTGTCTACAGATGGGCTTTGGGTCTCCACTCCGTACTCCCCCTCATTTACATTGATGTGATTTTTTGTTCTGTGTCTTTGATGCCTGATACCTGATCCTATCGACACTTCCTGATCACACAGGCTGTTGTACGTCTTCCATGTAGACTTTGTTGCTTCTCAGCTAGATGGCTGCTTGTTTATCTTCAGGCCTCTGAGACCCCAGATGTTATATCTTTTGATAGCTGGGCGCCATCAGCTTTCTTCACGTTTGCTTATGTACCCATTTTGTGTTCAGCAATCGTGTTGGGAAGGTGACCATCATGGAATGCCAGGTTACTAGAACAAAGTGTTCTTTCATTGAGGGGAGTACTTGAGTAGAGGCCCAATGTCTGCTATCTGAATGCTAAACCTATAAATATGTGTACATAGATCTATTTCCCTGTTGTCATATAAAAATATGTTTACATATGTGCATGCCTGTATTTAGACCTCTATAAATGACCTTTGCTTCCTAGTTCTTTCCTCTGTTTTCTTTTACTTTCCTCTTGTCCTGCTGTCATTTTCAGCCTTCATTTGGGTTTCAGTCATTCTTCTCAGTTACATTGTCCTTAATCAAGCCTTACCAGGCATCCTATACCCTCCTCACCATCGATTTTTGATCCCTGGTTATTCTCTTGTCCCTGGGTTTGTTAACACTCACTTCCTTCCCCCCACCCTCCAACCCCTCTCCCCCAATCTTCTGTCCTGTTGTTTTCTCTTCCAGATTGTTTATCCTGCCTATCTTAGCTAGATAGACATGCAGAGACAAAAACAAGACAAAGCAAAACAAAACAACAATAAAGAAAACCAATGACAAAAAAAAGAAACACATATAAATAGTTCAAGGTCTGTTTGTTGACCTTTAGGAGTATTTTCCAGTCAACTCTGATGGATTGCCATGCCCTGGCCCCACAGTTTATTTTTGCTATTCCCTGGGGACTTCATTCCTTTGCTCCCCTTGCCTGTTCCATCACATGCCCTTAGTGTTTCGCCCTTGTGTGGTGGCGTCAGATGAAGCACAATTCCCACTGTGTCTCCAGTGTTGTCCTTTGTAGCGCTATGGGTCAGTGAGGGACGTTGGTTTTGTGGTGGGTCCATGCTTATGGTCCTCTCTGCACATTGGCTGCTCTAAGCAGGAATATCATCCTCAGGGTTGGTGGACCAGGGTGTGCTCCACTCTCTTACCCTTACCCTTCTTTTGCTCCTGTGTGCTCTGATCAGACGTGTCTCTCTCCCTGAGCTGTAGCGTCAGTGCTATCCTCTGAAGTGAATTCTTCTGGGGGGAGTGGGGTTTGTCCCTGTAGTTGGAATTGGGGCCAGCCCCTCAGACCTCTTTATTGGTTACCTGGTTCATGCTGGTATGTTGCATTCACGTCTTGGTGCACTGGGTTGAAGTCTGGTCCCTCTCTCCCTGTGGAGATATAAACAACACCCTCCTGGTTTGGGGTATTTTAAAAGGGCAATCTTGATAGATTTTCTCAAAGGAAACAAAATGATGGAAACTTATTGACAAGTTTTAAGAAAATGAAAAACTGCGTTGGTGAGAAAAAGGCCTTGGAATGTTGCATTGAGGAATTGCTTCCCATCACTGTAATGCATCTGTTCATTTTGTGAGCTGCCCTACATTAATTTCATTAGGTAAACCTTACCACTCCCATCTTGATCTTGCCCTTTGACATCTTTTTGTTCCCAAAATTCCGAAAACATCCAAAAGGAACAAATCATATCCCTTTTAAATGTTGCCAAAACTGTCTTGATGTGATGTGAATCAATTCTTTGGGGAATGGTTACAGATATGAAAATACTGCCCTCAGACATGTAAAGACCTAGGTAGGAAAGACATTTGGAAAAACAATAGTATCATATTTTGATATTTTGTTTAATCAAGGCCTCTGTTATAGCAATACTTTTTGACTTACCCTTGTATATACCAGATAAGTTTATTCTTTAGTAAAAGACACACAGCATTTACTTTAGTAGTTTCTAAGGAATACTTTACTCAAATTCTGTGCATTTTTCTTTTAGAGATAAGAAAAACATAGAAGGTGGAAGAAGATGCTGGGATCTGAACGTGGTGTTGTGGAAGAATGGTTATCAGAATTCAAGGTAAATTGTTATGGGGTAAGACTATACTGTGTGATTTTAGATTTCAGTAAATTAGAAAATATGTGTTCTATGGATGAGCTTGTACATATATTTTGATATAAAATGAAAATAGTAAAGTACAAAATAAACATTTCTATTACAACTCTAAAATGCACTAATATAGATCATTGCGGGAAGATAATATATGAAAATGAAAATAGTTATAAAGACTAATGTGTTAGGCAGGGTTCTCTAGAGAAGCAAAACCAGGACACATGATTTAAAATACACACGCATTATATGGCTATATGTATTCATATATATATAAATATGTATATTTATATCTATACATAGCAAAAAGAAATATAACAGCAAATTACTCCACACAGCAGTACAGAGAGCTCAGTCCAAGTCACTTTCTTGGGTCAATTAAAATACTGCAAGTTCTTCCAATTCACACGGCCACTAGCCCAAGGCCAAAGAAGCACACAGTAGGAAGATGGAAGTTGCAAGGTGTAGCAGAGGCCACTAACACAGCGTGTTGAAGAAGGTCGCAGTGGAGCCTCATGGTGTAGCTATGCGAGGTGGCTGGCTGGAGGTGCGGGGTCTGGAGTGGTGGCAAGACCAGTAGAATGGACCCACAGGTAGTAGATACCGCAAGGTCGGGCAGTGCCAAGGCATGAAACAGCAAGGCACAGGATTGAAGTCTACCTCAGTCCGCAGTTTGCTTGGCCAAGTGGAGCAGAGCACTGCATGACCCACAGGTAGCACAGCACACGTGATGAGGCAGGGCAGCTAGATCAGGCAGCGTGCTGGTCTGACCACCAGGCTAGGGAAGTGCTCCTAGCCTCCAGTGAGCCATCTATCTCAGTAGCACCTCTAAAGGAGGTAATCAAGAGGCAACCTGATTGACAGGCTAAACTATACCAACATCTTACAGGTGCCATGTTGGTATAAAAAAACCTAACTATCACAACAAACGGGGCTAGCCAAATCTTAAAGTATGAGAAGAAAGAGGCAGTCTTCAAGCTTTAATAAGGTCCAGTAATAGGACTTGTGCTTTCAACTTTTGTTTCCTTTAATTTTTTTAAATTGTTTTATTAGGGGCTTATCCAACTCATCTCAATCCATACATATATCAATTGTGTAAAGCACATTTGTACATTCATTGCCCTCGTCATTCTCAAAACATTTGCTCTCCATCTAAGCCCCTGGCATCAGTTCCTCATTTTCCCCCTTTCTTCCCCACTCCCCCCTCCCTCATGAGCCCTTTATAATTTATAAATTATTATTTTGTCATATCTTGCCCCGTCCAATGTCTCCCATCACCCACTTTTCTGTTGTCCGTCCCCCAGGGAGGAGGTCACATGTAGATCCTTGTAATCAGTTCCCCCTTTTCACCCCACCCTCCCAATTTTGTTTCCTTTAATTATTCATGATTAAAAATTATAAAATTTATAAACTATGCAAATACTTTATGAAAACAAAATGTGAGAATTAAAGTCTCTCCTATATTACCTTCTGAGTAGATTACTAGTTTAAAGTACTTTGGTAAATCTTGGTATAATTTGTGATTTCTCATTTTTTTCAAGGTAGAATAAAAATAATTACTTTGGTAACTATTTAATAGTTTATTTAATAATCATGTTGGTTTTCTATATTTTCATTTTTCTTAGTTGACTCTATTATAACTCTTTTCAGGCAGAAGTCATGTAAAATAAAGCCCCTAGGTTCCCAGATATAAGTTCATGTTTGTCTTCCTTCCTTGGTTTCTTTTAGGCATTACCTGACACTCAGATCACCAATTATGCAGCAACGTTACACCGGAAAAAAGCACTGGTACCTGCACTCTATAAAGTTATTCAAGATTCAAATAATGAGGTGAGAGAGTTAAGAAAAGTAGTTTTAACATAGTGAAATGAAATATGTGTACCAAAACCTATTTGTGTAAGTTTTGCTGTTTCCCTCTTTAAAAAATAACAAAAACAAAATACTGTTTACGGAACTAGGAAACTTTCTCTCTGCTGTATTTCATTCTGATAGTTGCTTTGGCTTCTCCCAACCCTTTCCTTTTCATATTTAAAAATGTTTTGATCAAATTCTTATCTGTTGAAGGTAATATGTTTTGATTCTTGATTTGAGTATTCATCATCTCAATAGATTTATCATTTAATTGGATTTTTTTTCTGTGAATGTTTCTCATTCCAGAATCCAAAATTTAACTGTATTCTGATTGAGATTTATTTATTTTAGATATTGTTTATAGTTATTTGAATGACAATATAGAACTATATATAATCACTCTAATTAGTGAAATCCAATTTATAACAGAATGCTGCTGCTAGTAAATGCTAAAAATTGTTCAGAGAAACAACCTTTTGTAGTTTAAATGGTCAAGATAAAAACACTTTGAATAAGAATTTCCCACTGTCCAGCCCAGGAAAGAAAGGAAAAAATGCAGTTAGTGAATCCATCTGTTAACTGAGGTAAGATGGCACACATTATCTTTGCACTAGCACATTAGTACAACATACAGTTTTATCTCCAGTGCTTTCATGTATGCTTTAACATGAAAATGAAAGGAACACACAGGAAAGTAGCTTCTTATCTTCCCAGATACAGCCTCCAAGAATGCCTCTGCTGTGTACTGGAGTGAGTTTGAAGAAGTTCAGGTAATCATCTCCTAACCAGCAGCTTAATTTAAAATGCATCTTTATTTTTGTCTTTTCACTAAAAGCTTGCTTATTGACCTCTTTCTTTCCTGTCTCTTCTCAGTTAGGCTTGCATCTGTTGCTACTTATAGCAGCAGCCAAGGGTTCATTTGCTTCTTTTTCTCATGCTGTGTATTTCTGAATGTTTAAAAATTCTAAGGATGGGTAATGTACATATGGTGGGGCTGTTTCAAAGAGTTTGTGGAAAATCCCACTATCTTTTAGTACCATTTTCCATGAACTGAAAAGCCCCTTATATTTGCATATCCTTCTTGGTCAGGTGTTTTCAAGGTTTTTGTGCTGACTTAACATTTAAGCCTTGCTTATTAAAATTTGCCTGTTTTGTGCTTTCTTTTTAGACTGTAAGCTCTTCATGGGCAGTGATCATATATTATATATTCGTTACTTCCCCAGAATCTAGTATGTCATTTACATAATGAAAATTTGATAAATGTTGGTTCTAAATATAAGGCACTACAAAATAAAATTCTAAAATGCTGTCATTTCCATTAGAATTCATTAATACATAAAGATTATCCTTTGCTTTTCCCTTCCCCTCTCTTTACTTGACTTTTACCAAAAAAATACAATCTTTGCACTGTCAGGTTACAAAAGGGCAAACGGTTGATTGGTGTTTTTATTGGTAATTGAGAATTACTTGGCAAGGATGTTGGCTCTTTGTGTGTGTGGGACCCCTTTGTAATGAAAAGGAAGGAGGAGCTAGTCTTAATGGAGCTTGGGAAACTTGAATAAATACATTTGATTTCATAAATTGTTAGCTTATACTGTACCTTTTTCTAGAATTAGAACTTTCTATGTCAGTAATCAGTGATAAAGAGAAATG